TGCAAGAACGATTGTTGTACGAAAGTAAAGTAAAAAGAAATATCTAAATTATTCAGATTTGGCTTAAATTCAGTATCGAGATACTTTGTGATTGTGATTACTTTGTGATTTACTTTGATATTACAACTACTCTCGTCTCCGATAAATCGGCAACAGCAAGTTCGAATTTTGGCCATGCAACCCTGGACTTGTCCAGCTATAACACATCTAATGTATAATTTTTGAAGTGAAAACTTCTTTATCAGCGTTGTACACTTTTTTGTAATGGGTAAAAAATGTTAAACTCACGTCAGGACACATGACCTGATCGAATATTCGTAAGACGGATGGAGACTAGACAGCCGGCGCGGCGTAGGAGAGGAAGTATCCCCCTTTTTTTATTTTTTTATTTCCGTGCGGAAATTCCCTCGGATACCACCTATCGGTGGCATGTCGGACTCGAACCGACTAAAACCGCACGCCGTCTCGGGTACTACTAGCCGGGGAACCAGGTATACCCTAGAAAGGAAGTCCCTGGTGCCCCGACATATCTCGGGCCATCTATAACAACAGGTAGACGACCCCCCCGTGTGGGAACCCCATGTTCCCTCTGCTCCCTGGAAGCGAGCGCGCTTCGCAACGCGCTCGTCGCCACCCCGGCCTGCTTCTGCTAGGGTGACAGATGGCCTCACCTGTCACCCCCAGGCCTGCGCTTATGGAGGACGGAGGTCGTTCTGCGACCTCTGGCGCCTGAGTCGCCTGCGGTACCTGGCCCGTTCCCGGGCCTGGCGGGCCGGAAGAGTCCTAATCCTCTCCCGGTCCCGCTCCGACGTCTCCTTCGCTAGCATAACTTGCTCGCAGAAGGAGACAGCAGAGTTCCACGCACTCTCGCTCCGCACGATAGCCGCAATCAGGCTATCTAGCGAGAGAACTCCCACTCCGATGGCCGCCACGAGGTCTCGCCTCTGCTCAACCCACACCGGGCACTCTGCCAGCGTGTGGAGAGCCGTGTCCACGGTCTGGCCATCGCCGTGAGGAAGTATCCTCCTCTCTTTCTACGGCGCAGCGAAAATGTATGCCTACGCCTGCTGTTTCGTTTAGGCGGCGCAGAGCGCTTGCGCGAATGTTCGTGTGTGTTTCTGTTACAGCGTGCCACGCGCATCCATGGATGGTGACAGCGTCTCGATAAATTGTCATGTTTGTGTACGATAGCGCAATAAATAAATATTGTATTCTACCACATAAATGACTTTTATACTGATAAATTAAAGCAATTCGTGCAAAAATTTTCCCAACATTTCCAAAATATCAGTAATGCACAACGTTAATATTAAAGTTTGCACTTCCGTCAGCACTCGCGGAGTGCAACCCGCCGTTTTTTTACTTCAATTGCATACCCTTTCCGTATATCTTTTTCATTTAATTTACGTTTCGTTATAAACATAAAGCAGTTATTTCATAAGTGACGCAAGCCCTAAAAACCCAAGACTTCTGGGACGCTTGAAAGCTGCGTCAGGCTGTATATATGTGGTCCGGATGTCTTAATATCTGCTGTTCCCGGACCCCTACTATAGTTCTATCTCTCGCAGCTGGGAATGACGGTCACAAGATCGCGCCGCCGGTACCTTCGAGCCCGGAGAAGACGGTGAGCCACAGCCGCGGAGATCGACGTAGCACTGCGAGAATATAGAGCTACTGTAAGGCTCTCAGCGATGCAGTCGCTGAGGCCAACTGGAAAGAACTCATCGGGGGACTGGATAGCGACCAATGGGGGCGCCCTTACAAAATTGTACTGGGCAAGCTAAAACAATGCGTTCCTCAACCCTCCTCCCTTCAACCCTCCATTGTCGGAAACCCCGGGACCCGGAGTTCCTGGGAAGAGTTGTAGACACGATTTTCCCAAGGGTCTAGGACAGTCCCTTGATCCCTTCATCACAATCGTATCGCAACTCTGGTCCGACGAGTATGAGGTGCCGGAGGGAGAGCTGGATCGAGTCGTGCGGCGGCTGGCTTCCCGCAACACTGCACCCGGACCTGATGGTGTTCTAGGTCGTGCGCTGCTGATAGCTTTGTCGGTACTGGGGGACAAACTGAGGCGGATTTTCACGGATTGTCTTAGACTCGGTGTCTTCCCCCTCGGTTAAAAGAAGCGAGACTGGTGTTCTTGAAAAAGGAAAGACTGCAGATTCTTTATCTGCGTTCCGACTGATATGCCTGCTGAACGAGTCGGGGAAACTCTTTGAGAGGGTTATCTTCGATCGTATCGTCGAGCCTCGAGTCATCTTGAGTCGGCCCTGATCTATCGAACTGCCAGTTTGGACTCCGACGGGGTGTTCGACAGTGGACGCTGTCAGGTGCGTTCGCTCCATGTCGGAGTCGGCAGTCCGATCAAGGGCGGTGGCGTTAGCGGTTAGCCTTGATATCGTCAAGGATAAGAGCCGCTATCGGAGAAAGGTGTGTTGCGGGGTTCCTCAGAGCTCTGTTTTGGGAAAAAAAGGTTGTCATACTGTGTGGAGTGTTGTGTTACCAGTGTGGATACTACCAATTTTCCCATCTTATGTTCCTAAAGGGTTGTCGCATATTATGTGAGTGAGAATAAATTATATGTAGTTTTTAATCACCTCAACAGTCATCACTTGTTCCTAAACTATAACATTTTACGTAGTACTTAACGTATTAGGTTTGTGCATGTACTGTTTATTTCAAATAAATGTATGTTTATTCATAATATGTATTCACAGGTATGTAAACTGTTATCAAAAGAAGGTGCAAGTGAAAATAAAAACATACTACAGTGCCATCTAATGAAAACAAACCGAACCACGGAGTAACTGCTAATCCTCTATCGCGATTTAAACTTGAACTTTGAACACTGTTACTTAACAGGTAAAAATGGCAGAAATTTTAATTATTATTTGACATGAAACACTAAAATTTGGACTTTCAGTAGAAGATTACATAGCATGTATTTTTATTGATGGTGCTGGTTCCGTGAAGGTTTTAAATAGGCCCAAAAGATAATCTGCAACACCATACTTTTACACTGGAGAACTGTAGTAGTGATTCGAAAAATGAAAGTTAAAACGGGGGAATAGGTATTTGATTTACTAGCAAAATGACGCTAAAATTTTGCTTATAATGTGGAATAAATAGACCTAAAACCGCATGCCATTTGTATATTTTTTTTAAAACCCTAATAAAGATAGTGTTATTTGCAGTTATAGCTTACTCTAGTGAACGGAAATATACGTTCTGTAGTGAACTAGTACAAAAGCTTTTAATATTGTTTTATTTATAATTTTTGTCAATATTCCTATTACCCGGATAGTGGTTAGAAGTGGCTTCAGTTGTAAACATCAAAATGTGCCAAGAACGACATCCAGATATTTATTCATTTATTTAACGATATTGCACGTGCAAATTTTAACTGACTGATCAGTTAACTCGTTTACAGAATATCACTGCAGTAGGAACCTACTTCATTACAACAGCAATAAATTTTAATGGAAATCAAACAATGGTTCGTATTCAGTAAAAGTCTGAACAGAAAGGAAGGATAGGACAATGTGAAATACAAACAAAGGCCGATTGAGGATTGTGGCTCGCATAGCAATCAGCTCGGACCCAGCACTGCATTGCCAATCTGTGCAGTGGGCATGCGGATTCCAGGCGACGATTCGTTATAGATACACTTATACATGTCTGGCATGTCATACGAATATTTATCATTCAGACATAAACGGGCATTGATTTTTAAGCGGGATTGGCACAAGTCTTATGTTCATATATTTGTACATTTTATAAGTTTAAGTTTTGTTTATTTATTAAGTAGCAACCCACTTAAAAGTATTACTTCTTACTTGTCATAAACTTTAGACTCTTGATAAGTGAAGATCTTTATTAGACAATGCTTTTCAGAAACATTATTTTTCTACCCTTATATCCGTTAGACAAGCATTAGGTAATGTGTCGTTCGTTCTCAGAACTTCTTTTGGATTTATCCTATTAGGTGTACTGTGATTCACCAGGGACTTCCTTTCTAGGGTATACCTGGTTCCCCGGCTATTAGTCCCGGAGACGGCGTCGGTTCGAGTCCGACATGCCACCGATAGGTGGTATCCGAGGGGACTTCCACACAAAAAAAAAAAAGGTGTACTGTGATAATAATTTTTATCGCATCACATAGCTGGGCAATAAACAGACAGTTTTAATAAAAGGTTAATCCCTTACACAGATGCCCTCTGAGTAAGTAATAAACGAGCTTAACTGAAACTCCACAAAAAGAAAGGTCTGTTTTGTATACACTAAGTAAAAGATTGGCGAACACTTCAGCCGTCAACAATTCAATATTTATTCAATTAAAAAAGATCCAGATACTTTGACATTTTTGATATTTCCGTATATGTTAACAATATACACGATGTCAAGGTTTGATTATGTCACGAACCGATTAATAACAAGTTATTCGTATAATTTTATATCATATGCCATATGGAATCAAACGTTGTTGATTTAATAGATTACTTGAATTATAAGTACGCTCAAATGACGTTTTCCTTAACAACTTTATTTACTTGAGTCTGGATTATTTATTGATACTTCCTGCAAACATATTGCATGAGGCGGACTTAATGCCACAGGCATTTTCTTCCAGTCAAACCTTGGGGTGTTGCAAAGCCGTGTATGGCAGGTGTATATTTAGAACAAGTCCGACATGAGACTAAATTAAAGTATAGGAGATTGAGAGTGTAATATTTTTGAGCTAGAAAGTTAGACCATCTGTAGTTAGTACGAGAACATTACAGTGCAGCATTCGACAATAAAATTAAGGCAGCCAATTAATAATGGTTTACTAATTCTTTAATTCTGAACATAAACAACTGGAACAAGTGAAGACTTGTAATTGTTTATTAATATAAAACAACTGGAACAAGTGAAGACTTGTAATTGTTTATTAATATAGGATGTTGTCTTTAAATCGAACTTCGAACTCAATATAGGCAAAAAAACTGTTAACTCACCTTCAGCCGCTGCTCGTCGCTCTCTTTTAGAGTTACACTTCCAAAACTTCATATCGAATATCGTAGAGGTCACCAAGAAGAGAGATGACACCGTGCGCGCCCGCTAAGACAAGTTGCCGACGTCAAACTGTCCGATTGAGGCCGGAACAATGACTTTTGTTTACAAATGAACGACGCGGAGGATTTATTAAATTGTCAAGTGAAGCGGCCGACCGCAGGAGACCAATGAGTCGAGACAGAGCAAGTGCGACGTATGTACACCCCCGAAGGACAATCTCCGGTTGAACTCGACATCAGACAACAGTAAGGAAGGCGTGGGAGACTCGACCCCATTCGGTACTCCAAAGGGTATTAATAAAAGACATATCATAGCGTAAAAAAGTTTTATTTCTATCACATCATGTCTTGCTACGGTAGGAATTTTTGAACATAGATGCCGAATATCTTGCTAAGGGCAAATCACTACAATTCGAAGCAAATTACTGTTTAATTTATAACATCACAATTCGCCACAGGAATTCGGCTAAAAAGTTGGACTGTCCTGGTCAAAATAGCACACAATTTCGATTTCGAGACAATTTTAAATTATAAAACCTGCTTCGAATCTAATACATTATTCCACTATAAAAATACATGGATAAGCATAATTTCTAGGCACATTTCTGTACTGTCTATATTTAGATCGATTATGAGTACACACTTCTATCCGTTACACATTACACTATATTTATCTTATTTGAAAATAAATGAGATTGTCTATATCGTCTCCGAAAATAATCTTAATATCGAGAGGGTTCAATTTATATGTAGCATAGAACATTATGAGGAATATAAATAGTTTTACATAGAAACCTAATTAAATATGCACGTATATGTATGTAAATATATCGTTGGGATAAACAAATATGCCAATGAAATAATACTTATTACGTATAATGTGTTTTACAATGGCATACAAAACATTGAGCATGACTGTTACTTTTGAATGTTTCAAGAACTGTCTTGACCACATATTTGTTACAAAATCAAAATGAAAAAGTTGCCTGATTGGAATTAACATAATAAATAGGTATTACTTCAATTTATTAACAACTTTTAAATAAGTCTGCTTACATTTTTAAATTATAAAAGTGTAGTGACGGATTAAGAATACGGAATGTCACTACCCCAATTCATCCCGTGGGTGTCGTAAGAGGCGACTAAGGGCTCAAAACAACGCAGGACACCAGCACTGCAAAAAGAAGGAAAACTTGATACAATCCCTATACCAACCCGTCTGGCCAGCGTGGTATAGTAGGCCAAAACCTCCTTTCTAAGGAGAGGCCTATGTCCAGCAGTGGACTATTAAAGGCTGTTGATGTGATGATGATGATGATGATGATGTGATGACATTTTTAATGCCATTTGCAGCATTTAAAGAATTTACATATAATATTTGCAATATTTTCTTTTCACCCTTCATATTTCGATGAATCACGCGATTGCAAACAATTCATATACTATATGTGTATGCATTTATTTAGTTAGTCAATATGTAATTGAAATCGAGCTACACATATATTACTGGACATTTTGTAAGCATCATTGACTTCATAACTTTCAATGGAGAAAAAGAAGTTTGCCTTGATCTCATTGATCTTAATATATCATTTAAATCACTGTTAAAAAAGGTCCAAAAGTTCTTACAAACGTAAGTCGGAGAAGTCTTCCTTTTAATTGTGTTACAAAGTAACTTAGGCTTGTCTGCAGCTAATATAAAAACTAAAAGTAAATATTTATAAAACTGACGCTAATATATTTTTTTTTACGATAAAAGTTCTTGCAGGTGTTATGTTTATGTAAGAAGTTTTGAAAAAATTATTAACCAAAATTAAAAATGCAACAGTCTTTTGTTTTAAGTCAGTTGTTATTTGACCTTAAAACTTTTCGTGTTTTCACTTAGATAAAAATGTTGAAAGATAAAATACATATTTAGTCCGTCACAAGACTCAAGACAGAGAAAAATAATGATAATACATCTAATGCAGAACAGGTTGTTTCTGAACGTAGATTTTATGTATTGAACTACTGGGTCAATAATCTACATCAATATTCTTATATATTCCCAACACAAAACTTAAATATCAAAACATTAAGTTACATCTTAGTATAAAATCGTGTGATGAACTCTTGATATGTATTAAAATTTATTTGGTAAAAGGTTTTAAAAACAATCATAATTTTAAAAATCAGTGGTCACACTTGGCAATATAAATTTCATAATGAACCATGTTAAACAATAAAAAGTTTGAAAACAAATAGCACAGCAATACATCTCACTTCATTTAGCTAAACACCTAAAAGTACTTTTATTCTAAATAATTACTTTCGAAATTAAAAAAATAACGTGATTTACAAAGGCACTGCTTTTTACTACATTGAACGTACATCAGTAATCACAGTTTTGTTATAAAATAATTGCTTGCTATGGTTAAACAATGTCTTCTTATGATGACAAACATCAAGTTTCTCATACTCTGAATTTAGGGGTTTTTAATGATCTATGTGTTTTTTTTTTTCAAATCAAAATGCTACCATAAACAGTAAATAATGTTATTTGTATTATTTAAAAGTATTTTATTTTCCTTTAGTAAAGACAACATAGTTCTAACTTCTGTGTTTAACAGTCATCACTATTACTTTTAATCTTTCAACCAGCGAGCAGAAATACGATATAGTAGACAGAATACTGTCTATATGAGACCTCACCTATAGTGGCTGTTATAAGTACTAATGGTCTTTTTGGTTTGTCCAATTTGCAGTGTCACAATAATAATGCATTATATGACAAACAATGTCTTTCGGCTGAGAAGAAGATATGAACAAGAGCTGCAGAGCATGCATTTAATTAAAATTATCCGATTGACAAGCATGAACGTTCCTGTTAATTTGATAATTTTAAGGAAATCTAAGAAATTTCATTAAACAGCTGAATCAATAAAATCTATTGACTAGTCTAATTAACATAATCTTGTTTCATATTCATGCTATTTGTATTAAGCTTGAATAGTTGCAATTTAATTTTTCTTGTGTTTGTAAAATCGTCATGATAGTAGAATAATGTATTACATAATGGTTTTGAAAAAAATACGAAATTCAGTTTTTACCATATTTGGAAAAAAATATATGTATTTATAATAAAATAAAAATATGTATTTTAGATTTTAAATTATTAAGTGCTTGTTTGATAAGCGCTCAAAGTAAACTGAAGCATATGATTTTTCTAGAAAATTGTATAATTATTAGTTGTTATTTTTATTGCATTTTAAAACATACTATGTTTCACTTGTATGCCAATTTTCATAATTAAGGATTAGGAATTAAAAAAATTATGTCAAAAAAATAACACAGTTTTTTGAAATGGCTGCCTTAGTAAAGTTCAATAAATGTCAAATCCGACACTATTCTACGACTATGACGAAATATTTGACGACACACATTACACAATACAATTATAAATTATGACTACAGTATGGTGCACACAGTGATAGAGAATAGAAACACTAAATTCATATTCAGTATACACAGCTGATTACGAAGTAAATAATAACAAAAAGCGGGCAGAAAAATGAATTGCATGGAGTTGAAATGTGAAGGAAAAAATAATTTCAACTTCTCAGAGCTTAATGTTTTTAAGGTCGAATGGTTTCTTCTCCATGTTCGTTAGCGCTAATACCTACAAAAAGGCACAGATTTTTTAAATAAAATATTAAAATGACGAAAATAAATATGTAGATATAGTTGGTTTGGTTTTTAAATGTCAGGAATCGATTTATATTCTAACGATTATCATGAAACATAAAAAGCAATTCATGTATCTTGTTTAAGACTTTAATAATAATTTTATGGAACATGGTTAACTTTACTCAAAAAAAATATCTCCGATAACTAATTCAACTGTACAATGTTCAGATCTTTGTCATAGCATTATTCATATAAGATCTCCAGCCTTATGACAACAATCCATGAAGCATCTACACAATGTCTATCAATACTTACATTTAAAAATTTTACTTGTCTCTTGCAAACCACTTTACATAATTCTAAAATAAACTACATAACTAACCACTAATATAAATGGTGTAAATATACTTAAAGATAGTTCTTTTTAAATTAGTTTTTCAACCAATACTGAAAAGGTGTTTACCTAACTATCCTTGCTAGCTTATTGCCAAAGTTACATGTAGCGTTTCAAATTAACCAAATTTTCCAAGGAACCGTTTTATTTACAACAGTTCAGTCATTGCGAGATCTTGTCTTACGTAAAAATGATTGCATCTGCCAGACTCACTTCTGCAGAGCGTGTAACCACAACAGCGGTTGTTGTAACCGGTTGTCAATGTCTATACCAAGCCCCTTGTACACGAGTCTGGAAATGTGACACTGGAGTGACTATATAAGCCTGTTGTGGTTGTTGAACCACAGCCAATGGTATAACTTGCTGAGCCATTTCTACCTGCTGACCACCTTCCTCAGACACTCCCAAAGGTTGAACACAGTGCTGTTGTGTAACTTGTTGTACCCCACCAACTTGTTGTGTGAGAACTTGTTGGTGTTGGCTGACTTGTGGTACCAACATCTGTTGTTGCATTTGTGCTTGTTGTTGAGGCTGCTGCTGGTGTATAACAACATGAGCCTGGTTTTGCATCTGCTGGTGTTGTTGAACTTGTACTTGTTGTACTTGCTGTTGCTGTTGTTGTTGCTGCACCTGTTGTTGTTGTTGCTGTTGTTGTTGCTGTTGCTGCTGTTGTTGCTGCTGAGCCTGCTGTTGTGCATGTTGCTCTCTCTCATGATCTTCCTTCTTTTTAGCTTCCATAGCTGCCTTCTTTGCTTCTGCTTTTTCTTTTTCTTGTTGTATCCGAATAGGATCCTTATTTTTATCATAAGACATACATTTCCCACTCCGGAATGGCACCAAGTCTTTTGGTATATCTTGTTTTTTAGTTGCAAATTTGACATGAGGAAATTGATCCTTCATGAAAGCACGGAAAGTGGAGTAACCCATAAGTTTCACACCTGGTTCTAATATCTCCCCATACTCTTTGTAAGCTTCGAATAAATGTTTCCGTGAATCTCCTTGAATTATAACAGTCTTACTAGCCTTTTTGCCACTTTCTCCTGAAGGTTGAACATCTTTAGGAGAACTTGCATGTTGCTTTAAATATTCCTTTAAGAAATTAGTGGCATGTTTGTAAATATCTAGAGTAAATGTATTGTATGGCTTCTTACCAACATTGCCATGAATACGGGGAGCAACGCCATGGGTCATTACATGTTGCCTGATCCTCTTTAATTGGTAGTGTGTTACATTTTCAAGATATAAAAAAGCCTCTAGGCACACCTTTCTCCCTTGATACACATAGCAAGCCCTCAATCTCCTTCTAACTTTATGCCGAGATGTCTCAGCTGGATTTGCTAAGCTCGCCATAGTGATACCCATCAAATACATGTCATGTTCACTTTTGGTCAATTCAGCAATGTTCAGTCTGTGCCTGTAGACTGCTTCTGGATTGAGACCTCGATAACAATTATCCTTACAATCGCAACCTCTCTTCAGTCTTTCTTTGACCTGAAATAATCATTTAAACATAAGTAGAACCAATAATTTAAAAAAATCATGACTTTCCTCTCAGGAGTTCCAATGCTACTATTTAGAGGTAATTATAGTTTATAACAATGGTGTTTATTCATAATATACACCAGTAATTACTCACATTGTTTTATATACTTAAAAGAGCAGATGTACAACTGAAAGTACACATAATTGTGTGTGATAACATTAATTTGAATTTTTGCAAAACATTAGAAAAACCTGTTATGAAAAATATATTTTCTCAACATTGACATGACGAAAATGACTGGACAGGGTACACAAACATTTTAAATAGTCAATTTTCAAGAAAGTAAAAGTACCCATTCTTTTAGAAGAATATATTGGATCTAATACATATAATAGTACACTGATAACTCACCTGTGTAGGATTATCTTCTAACTTATTGTCAAGAACCTCTTCATCACTATCAGATTCTGCTTTTTTCTTTTTTTTATTTACAGTTTTCTTCTCAACTTTTGGTTTAGTATCAACTTCCATATCCGGTGTCTCTCCCTCCACATGGGACTCAAATTCAATGCTGTAAGTGCCAGGTAAAGCCTGCAAATTGCCCCCATTTTCTACTTGTATGGTATGTCCCTGCCACAAAACCTGAAAAGTCACAATTCAATTTACATTCAATAAAGTTTCTATGACTAACAACATACTAGCAACTTTAGTGTTAAATAACTGCACCTGTTCCTGGTGACCATTGTAATTGTGTTGTTGCATATTTTGAGAGCCTATCTCAAAGACTGAGTGTTGGCCCATTACTGGTGTGTGCCACTGAGCATTCTCACCATACTCGCCGCCGCCATTCTGGTCCGACGGTATGGACACGATGATGGCCTCCTTGCTGTCTACGCTCCGGCGCTCCACCGAAAGAAGCGAGTGCAGCACCTCACTAGCCTCTTTTTCAGCAGTATTCACTACTTCCATTTTTTCGTACGACATTCTCCGCTCCACGCTACAACCGATCGTTCACATGAAATCATATGTACGTACATACGTGTATGTACAAAGCGATATGCCAAACCCGCCCCGACCGCTGCGAGAACCGACAACCCCAAGACACAATACAAGAAAAACCGCGATAACTTTTCAAATTCATGTAAATAAACATAACAAAAACCGCGCAATTATTAACCTTAATCGCATTTTTTAAGTTTCATTATCGCATAGCGGATCGAACTCCCGTGGAATATTGGGCCATATAGTCATAGGAAAGAAAGAATAAAACTCACCTTTTTCACGATATATCAGGGACTGAGATGCATGAAAATGTATCTCTATAGTTTCCAACAGGCTATGGTTTGTTTTAATTCACTTCATTTTGATATTATAGTCATAATTAAAGAGAAAAGTACAAATATTTCACGGAGTTCACGGAAGCAATATGGCGATATACTATACTTTCTGTGAACAAAATCGGAGGACGCCGTAGAACACGTAATTAGTACAGTGCGCCACCACCAGACAGCGCTGTAATAACGTTTCGGCGTTTCCGTATCGACGCTCTCGACACAACATAGCGCGGTAAGATTTAAATTATGTTTAACGTTTCCAAATGACACAATTTTATTATTCTTATTTGCCATAGTAAAAAAAAAGGATTTCTAGTATGTGGAATATCCGTATCCAAACTGTTTACTACTTTTTAAATAAACCAATTATATTCCTTACGAAACACTTCATGACGTTAAGTAATTAATAATAAATCTGTGATATTCTTGAACTTTAAGCATTTTATAATTAAAAGTCATTACGAAATTGGTTTATTACAGGCTGTTACATGATGCGATAATATAAGTTCAGCCCGTAGTTTACCCTTCTACCTTGTACTTAAACACTTGTAGGTATTCATAGAGGCATTCAATGTTTATGTAGTAGGTATCTATAGCAGCAAAACTATTGTAATACAGAAGAATTTAAGGAAAAGGTAAAAAGTGTGTACCTCAGCCCATAGTAAGTATACAGAAATATAGTATTAATTAAAAGTGTTGATTCATATTTTTGTAGGTACCTATTTGATTCATAGTATAATCTTATTTATCTGCTTAATTATCTATAATACGTAGTTACAATCAACATTTTGAAAGAGGGCAATATACAGATCAAAATATAACCAAGTGCATTTTTTTCCATTCGTAAGAGGGGTCCGCAACGAGGTGGAACACGACATGACCCTGACATTTAAAAATGTGTTGGTATTAGACACAAAACGTACTAATTAATATTCCTTATCATAAACATGGAAACCAAATTATGTTATGTAGGTATTTTATTTACGTCGCACTTGTCCCTATCGCGTTTTCTTTAAGCCGATGATTTTTCGCCTATTTACTGCGTGTAACAAAGAAACTTCAAGCTGCAATGGTAACACATAGGGCCAAATAATAATAATTTAGTAAGGTTTCGTAATGCTACATACTACGTTGTGTAAGACAGTTTTATACAATTTCTGTTTTCGTGGCTTACAATAATAATTCTCATCATTTACATTTTAACCACTCGTGTGCATGTCTATTCTAATCTCTTTCTTTTTATATTACATACTATTTTACGACAATAATTATCACTATTAACAGAAAGCAAAAAGCCTATGTCGGACGGACGGCGGTCCATATCCGGACCGCGGAATCTCGAACCTTGGACCGCCGAATATTTAGCACAATTTAATAAAGCCCAAGTTAGCTAGTACTTAATCTAGTATCTATTTTACATGTAAGTACGGAACTTTTGTGATTTTATCAGTTTTAATTTTAATTGTCCTTAATGATGATCTTAATGTTCTATAATAATTAAATCCTAGTGAGAAAAATACAAACTAGTGAGATTTATTAATTATTTTTCGTGGACCTCGATAAAAATTTCGTCAGGAGCCGGACTCCATTAAAAACTGCTTGCCGACCCCTGATCTATAGAATACAGTTGTATTTCTCCTTTATTTATGAAGAAGGTTTATTTATGATGACGTTAGTTTATCATATTTTTTTAGTGATTATAATAGTTAGAATAATATCATAATTTACTAACCAGCTGCTGCGTCCAGGGCGAAGCAGCTACTGCGGGATTTAACTACACCTGGTGACGGTCCATCAGGCCACTCCATCTTTTCCTCCATGGCCTTTGAAGCACTTCTCTTAAATTGTTCTAAGAAACTGTCTATTTGTGTTTCTATACTAGTCGGGGAGTTGGCCATCGTTTCCACCGAAACACCGAAAACAAACACAACACGTTAACCTGCCGTTTATGACATTTTATGTCTTTTTTGTGTTCTGCCACAAAAATCCGCATTTACTTTTTATGCGTCGTATTTCGTATTGCATAATTGGGAGTTTTATTTATCGACGAATTCGTTCATCGACCCGACTTCGCGTATAATAATATCAAAGAAGACCGCGGTACGGCCCCCGACTATGAAAGGACTGCTGGATTGCGGACTAGAGACGTGCTAATGTATAAACATCGATGTTTCGACGCTATCACCAAAATGTGATATATCTACTTTTTAACGTGGTATGTAAATGCCGTAATACTCTAAGCAGTCTTATCCGATTTCATTCACTTTATTGAAATTATTGTAAAAACTTGCCTTTTTCTTTTGTTATTTTAGCTTAGTTATATCTCATTAGTTACTTTAACGAAAAGATATTTGTAATAATAAATTGTTCGACATGTAATTTCATTAATAACTCTGAGTTTTAACCTGGATGTTTCAAATTCGATAAAATAGATCTCTTCTCTCTTAAGATAAATCTCACTAATTATTTTTCACCCGTTTTGCATAAATACCTTAATCATGTCTCATCAATTTCAACTAGCTCTCTAAAATCTAGAGTACGTCAACATCATAATTACCAGATTGATTCTTTTGCTAAACAATTATGACTTTGATGTTTCTTCTTTCTGATACACATCTATTTTTTATTTACATTATCAACTTAACTATTTAAATTAAGAAAAATATTCCGAAGATACTAACGCTTGTATTTAAAAAGGACACTAATAAAAACGACTGCATAGATCAAAAACCTAGGCTTCAACTTACTTTCATAGAATAACAACTACTAGGAATTGTCACCCATGCACATTCATTCCGTGAATAGCCAACTGTACCATTTATTGGATTAAATTGTCTTTCATTAGAAGTTAGAGGTTAAATGTAGCGTTTTGAACTATTATAGGTGCTATAGATCTAGCTACAGTTTTAAACTTACATTGACTCTAGTACTACTAACAAACGTTATTAAAGCGGGCTTTGACGGTTTCTAACTTTAGTCATTAAGTACATAGTTGACGTATTTCTAAGTTAGATTTTTTTAATACATTTATTATAATATATGAATCTTGGTTTAAAGGCACAAATGTAAAAAATATAGTAAGTACTCTATTGGATGAAAAATAAATCACACTTTCTTACAATAATTTGTTAAAATAATTTGAAATTACATCGATAACATATTTCACGCCATTTACCTTTTGCCATCACTATAAAGCAAAGTGATTTTACTACGGATACCGTTATTCTATATACGGCAACGAAAATAAAGCGACACCCACTGACATCTATCGATCGCAGTGAACAGCTGTTCGAGTATCTAAGTTGCCAGTTATCATATGCCTAAAACTAAAAAAAAATATAGTAGAATAAGTAAATCGCTTCTTGAATAATGTGTGATATTGCTGTTTCATTACATATATTAACGGTTGAAATAATATGGATAATGTCAAATTATCGTTTTATTTTTACGCATGCCCAACTGATCAGACATGTGTGCGTGTCTGATGACGTTAATGTTTGGTAGTGTGAGTGTCTATCGGTGAGGGGGTCGCGGTCGCTGCGACGGTCGCGCATCGCGCACGTTATAATCCGCTACGTACATTAGGTAGTGCTGCGCGAAGAGCGCGTGTAGTTCGTGGTAATAGGAGGTGACTGGATCTGTCACACACAAGAACCTACCCGGCATCAAAATGTCAAGTAAGCATGCTTCTTTTACCGGTATTTTTAGTAAAATTCTATTGTTTAACGTAAATCACAATAATAACGATTACTATCTCTTAGTGACAACGAAAACGGGTAGTTAAATATACTTTTCTAATATTATTAGCAAAAGTAATCAATTGTTAATTAACGGTATTCTTGTAATTAATTTGTACATAATTTAATTATCACGAGTTAAAATTAAACAATCCATTATAATGTACATAATAGAAGAGGCCTAGAGGACTACCTACCGTTAAAAGAGCAAATTTTAACTTATTTGTACTATTTGCGTTTATGGACTTATGGTGCAAATTATTTTAAGTGTATTGTTTTTTATTAAATTTAAATTAACGAATAATGTAAAAAAAAAACTGCAAAATGTGTTTAATTTTTTTATCAATATTTGTTCCTCTTATGCGTGTTATTTTTATGTAATGTGATGGGAAAAGTTATCTTAATTGTTATCAATGTAGACACAGTTTATAGTTTTACAATTTTCAGAATGTCAAATAACCTTGAACTATTTTGTCCAGCGTGAGTCCATTATCTTTACTGACTTTAAAAACATCTACGTCTACGTCACTTTAGTTACGTTAACAGATATCACAATGAATTATTCTGCTTTACGTTTTCCATCACAAGTCAACTATCAAGACAAGTATAGTAACATATCGTAAACACTGTATCGCTATCTATTGTAAATAAAATAACCATATTCATAAAGTGAGTCTGTCGGCTACGCGATTAATAGTATCAAACCTTTTAGACCGTGGCACTGATCAACTCAAAATTAAATTACAATATCGGTTAAATTTCAATACCTGCTACAATACGTTTTGAACCACTGAAAAATTTGTACATTTGTAGTTTTTTTTTTAAACTGCAAGTTATGTTGCCACGTAAATTGTCTGAGATTTGTAGATCGATATCCAATATTCATGCATCAGCAATGCATACCGCAAAGATTTCTTACCACTTGGTTGCGGCTGAACAGTGAACTGGCGCCGCCGATATGCAAAGCCAAGATACCCCGACGTACTGTTGTCATGGAAAAAATAGACATTATGGGTGTTGGGACATTATCAATAGTTACAGGCAAAGAATATTAAAACATGCCGATGTTTTAAGATTCTTTTTGTGTTTTATTAGGGTGACAAATGTCGATATTATATACGACTACTTTTATTGAGGAACTATGTTGAAGGCTCAGAAAATTATATCATTCCTATTACAATGTTGTATATTTGTTTATGGCCTCGGAACTAAATCAGGGTGATCATAAATATCAAACCATCCGGTTTTAACCGTCGCCCCTATTTCAGTTAACGCACGCAAAGAATATTAATTGACTAAATGAAATGATGAACCCGAAGGTGGCGCATAGCGTGCATCGTAAAAACTAAGAAAGTTGTTTATCACGAAAGCAAATTTTCTCGTCTGAATGGTTTACTTGTTAGGAATTGAAAAACGAAGATATGGCAATATCTAGATATTGACGAATGTAAAAAGTACAATACGTCACCATTGCATTCCTTTTTTGCCTTAAATAGTCGACTGCCTGCGTGGTTTCATCCCGACAGACCGGTTGCACCTAAATAGAAACCGTAGGGACATTGCTCCCGACCGGCGGCAGATCCTGCATCTCAACTGTCGAGTGCCCTGTTAGGGTGCGTTTTGGTAATAGAATATCTAATGACATGCCTGCTCTAAAATCTATTTCAGGTGCCTCAATAAATCTTCCTATCGGTTGCCATGCAGACATTTTTGAAAATAAATAAGTAACTGCACGATGTTGATACACCATTAATATTGTGCAAAATATATTGCAGGAATTTCTGTTGACCAAAGATTAGCCTTGATCATTGACGGCATTTCCTGAGTTAAAAGTATTGCAAGGTTTTACTTCATTTTATGACATTCCGTTGAGCATCATAAAACATGCTATGGCAGGAAAAAACGAAAACGAAACATTTAAAGCTATTTTAAGACTAGAACTCAAGTAAGGATAACAGGAAAGATAAATATTATTACGAAACCAGGTTTTGCACGTAGCTTCAAAAATCCATCCCTAGGACAAATTCTCTTTTTATTGGATGAAAGGTTTCCTATGTCATTGTCTTGATCTCTGGCAACGTGCATAAAAACCTTTATGATGATCGGATGAATTGAACATTGAATTTTAAATGCAAAATAGATTATTGCTTACTATACATATTTTTTATACATTTTAAACTATAGAGATTATACACATACGGTTGCAAATCTCTAACACTTACCAGAAGTAGCTACGTCACTTTTCAGTAACAAGTCAACGTTGACAGGCAACACTTATTGTAAGTTTCATTTTGGGATTCATGGGCGTGGACGGGCTCGGCAGCAAATATCTGGCGCTACACAGTGACTAGTTTTATTTTGCATTTTATTTGTGTCGCGCTATTTCTGAACATGCGGCACTTGTCTGTTACATGGTGGTGTATGTGATGGCCCACGCAGGCCTGACGCGTCTACTAAATATTCACTTGAATATTTTCCTAACTTTATTTACAAATATTATTTTCTTTATTTCATTAAATATACATATAACTTACATATTTAATACAAAATACTTTTACCAGAAACGAGCCGGAGCGGGACTCACCACTTTTATCCCTAACTCGGCGACCAATCTCAGCAATTAACTCTTTAGCTTCTGACCCCAACTACCCAAAGTCTCCCCCGCAATAGGCACAAAATAATAATGCGTCTCCATTGCGGCGTATTTTGATCGCTTCCTACTAGCGGCATCCTCCGCCGCCGCCGCTGGAGCTTGGACGGTGCGACTCAGATGTGAAGCCGCGACTGTGCTAACGCATGTAGCGTCCCCTACCAAGCACTTGCCGTTTTTCCAAGGCACCAAAGTCAAGCCATCCGGCCGCTTCCCGTCAGATCTGCTGAGACCCGATGGCTCCAGCACGCAGGGTACATCGGCGGATATAAGAACCCTTCGGACTATGTCATTTAGGGCATGGTGTCGCGAAAATCTACCTGCGCAGCGACGACAACTCACCCACCCACCATGGCACCGTGGGTGCATCTATGTGGTTCGCACACCCTGCAGCCCATGCGGAGAGCCACTGCCACACGCACAAAGAGTCGCCGTCTAGCAAGGTGCCCAAGTGAGGCGATGGGAGTGCATGTAACCCCGCCCCTGACTCTGACTGCGATACGGCCCTCAGTCTTGCCAGATCGGTACCCCTAGCAGTATCCAACATTTGTTTAAGGAGTCCCTTAGCTCCAATGTCATCCCATGCTCGTTGGACGTGTAGGGTCACTGGAAATGGTTGACGGCCGATCATGCCGATACCGCCTCGGACACATAAGGTATGCTCGACCTATCACCATTTGGAGAAAGTGTGACAGCGACAAGGTCCGCAACCCCATGCGCCGACGCTAGGAAGGCCGGTAAGCCAACATCCAGCACACGCCGTAATTCGAGACCTCCGTATCTTATTGGCAGAGCTGCCTGGATCTACTGGTGCTCATCAAGGGAGACGTTAAGGATCGACTCAGCAGTATCTCTTAAAGCACCGTCGAATAAAGAGACAGCCTCCGGACAAAGCCATTAAAATATTTAGAAATATAAATTATAATATCCCATCCATGTCGTGTACAGGCACCAACATACCGGGGTGGTTAGGAAAATTATAATTTATTATTAGTTGTTTCTGTTTTGTATAAATTAAATACCTGTTATACACACGTATTTTGACTAATTGAAGTAGTTTAGATATGCAATTCATTATTTAAAAAAGTTTTAAACAGAACGTACCTAAAATCAAGGAGTAACTTCACTAAAATCGTAACCATTGAATTTCCAAAATGAAAATTAATCCAAAACTGTAACTAATAATCTATGAACTGCTAAACTGATGCGGGTTCTGGACACACAGATAGATTAAAGTCTTGAATAGGACAGGTTACTTTTATCCTTTTTTTTTAACAAAACCGCTGAAAAAATCTAGTGCAATAATAGGAATGAATGTACTCACTTACAGAAAACTATTTTGCCTACAAAATTGAAATTATGTCAGGCAAGTAGGATTGTGCGTCAGAGTTGGGTTATAAATGTTGAGGCCAACTTAAGTTTTTACTTAAATTTTCATACTAAAGACCTGAAATTAGGCGGCTAGGACATATCAGATAAAATAAATAAATAGGGTATGTTTTTAACAACGCGAACTAAAAAAACTTATTTGTTAATTTTGGTCATCACAATCACCATCTTCCTGCCTTTTTGAGAATTTGTTTGGGGTCGGCGCAATGTGTACATTGCAAAATATTATGATGGGACTAAGAAATATGAAAGAATAAAGCGAGGGAGGTCAAGGATACCACCAGTCTAACATGGGGAAACGGGACTGGGATTGTGTACTGTCATGTATGTCCTATATTAAAGAGGTCACTAACAAGCTTGATGAATTTCTTAACACCGGTTTTCTGTGAGGTCGTGGTATCTGCATGGTTTGTTTTTATCGTAGAAAATATCTTTTAAGGGGGTGAAAGGGGGGGGGGTGAGAGTTTGTATGGGGAACCAATAACCGCTGAAAGATGTGAAAGAAATTTGGTTTGGAAATAGTTTGAATCTTGAGAAAAGACATTAGCTACTTGTTACCGTTATAACCGACTTAAACGCGGGCGGAGCTGCGGGCAGAAGCTAGTATCAAATATGAGATAACTATATAAAGCGGCCAACTGCTAAAACACTAGGTGTTGGCTGTCTAATTATTTTTCTGAAAGGATGTTTCATTTCTTTTTGTTTTTTGACGGCAGGTAAAAACATAAACTGGACACACATAGTTTTATGTAGTCGTTTTCACATAATTTTTAACTTTATGGCAAATATTAGGTAAAAAAAGTTAGGTTTCAGCATGTCTTCAATATTTAAACATTAAGTATTCCTAATATGAAATGTTTTCGTGTGCCATATTTGTTTATAAAGGGGTCTAAAGAATTTTTCTTACGTATAATATTTAGATGAGCCAAATAATTAGCTATTCGTATTTTGTTATTCTATTTCTTTAAAAATATTTTATTCGTAACCGAAACTATTTGTTATTTTTGCCGTATCCGTTTCCAAAACCGATTTAATATTATTCATATACATCTCTGCTAAATGTGGGTATTGGAGATTCCTTTTTCTCTTAATACGAATACTATGCCTAGGCCAAAAATCCGAGGTCTTGAAGACCGTCTTGTACATATCCAATATCTGTAAGGATTAATATTTCAGTACCTGTTGTCTATATTTCATCTTTACTTGATACACTAATTCATTGTTTTATCTAGTGAACAACACTATGAATATTAAAACAGCACGTGTAGTATTAACAAAGGAAAAATAATACGCATCAACGACGCCAGCAGTACCAGCGCGTGCCAAATGTTAGGTATCTATATAGAACTGTACGTAGGTAGGTCGAGTGTGGCTTTCTCTACAGGAAGAAACTGCGCACTTCCTCATAGTATTTCGTGATGACTATGGTCCAACAAGAACTGACCGAATTACAAAAACAAATATACGGAATCCTATGTTTCTCCAGTTATTTTAGATATTTACGTCTTTGGCACCAAATGCGACTCGAGAAATGTGATTAGACTCGTGGTTTCAGCAAATTAAATATCTCTACATTGAAATGCGGTTTATAAATAACAAATGTAAAACTAACGGCATTTCTTTTTATATTTACGGTTTCATTATAAAAATAATATGCAAAAATTGGTGAGTAATACGCAGTACAGAAATAAAACTACATTCGTAGATATGAAAATATGCTTCAGGAATTCTAACTAATATTTAAAATGTGAAAGTAATTTTGTTTCTTTGCAGTACATTCATGTACTGACTGCTCAAGCGATCATCATGATATCTCTCATAAACCTTGTTAGATTTACAACAAAGGCCATTAGACTGAAAAAAAGACGGTCATTGTCCGTCTCACAGACGAACGACTACTACGACAGACGAACACAGACGAACGCCAATAGCTACTTCAATACGTCAACTTTTAAATTCTACAGAAAATAATATTTAAAGTGATACAAAAATTTAAAAATAGCTAACATTTATTAATAACGTTTCATGTTATGACGTAGTATTGTTTGATAAAGTTTGAATGTTATTTTGTCTTCAGATCGAGCATGGGTGACGTTAGCTACAAACGACTCGTACGGGCTGGGAGCCCTGGTGCTGGCGAACTCGTTGCGCCGCGTCAACTCCGCCTTCCCAGCTGTGGTGCTTATCACACCATCCGTCACTGAGCCTATGAGGTTATTAACTAATTAACTTTTAAATATCATGAGGTGGTTATACCCAATATAAATCACAATCTCTGGTGATCGGGACTCAGCCATTCAGGAAGAAATTATTATAAAAATACTGGATTTTAAGCCCATTTTCCTGGCATGACATCGTGTTTGCTAAGGTCCTAAGAAATTTGATATACATATATGATCAGCCTATCGCCGTCCATTGCTGAACGAAGGCCATCCCAAGGAGCGCCAAATATCCCGGCCTTGGCATTCCTCATCCATCCGTCTGTTTGAGTATTATAGAAATGAAATTATTTTGTAATACTAATATCTCCCTTCTAACAGCCATTTTAAAATTGCCCATATGATTATAAGTTTCTTTGAAATGATAAATATGAGTATAGACAAAAGAGCTGTAATCATGTATTATTTTGATTACCTGCTAAGTTATTTGCACTGTTTATGCCAGACTGCAATTAAAGTTTCCAGGCAATTAACCGTTCCGGTTAGTTAACATTTTCAGGTGATTATGAATAACTGAAATTAAAGAATCTTCATCATCACTTTCCACCTTTCACATATCACTTAATAGACTACTAATGCTTGAAAGTAACGAATATAAAAAAAAAAAGTCATTTAACCCTCAACGTAGAAAGCAGGGTATCACAAGTGTCTATGTATCTAACTGCAGTTATGAATCTGTATGGGGCATTATAGCTGTAAAAGATGGATTTTTAAATATTTCTAATTTGAGAGGTGACTTGATCGAGAGTATTCATAGTTATTATTCCAGAAAATCTACTCCTTTGTTCGGAAAATGAGGGTGTTATGAAAAAGTAGAATCTATGGTAAAATCTTTTATCTTATTTCCCTTTTAAGGTTGTACATGCTTCGAGAAGACAGATCGGTAACGATATTCAACTATGGTATATGGTATCATCAGCCAGTCTACTGCTGGACATACGCCTCTCTCATTGCACGCCACTTAGATCGAACTAATATGATAGTATGGTATGATAATATACATATATGTCGATAGGTTTGCTATAGTTTAACTACCAAGGATGTGTACAATTCGTTACTGAGAATGGCTCTGTTGTATATTTACGCGTTCAATGTTCGAGTCGCCATGAGTGTTGTGGTCGGACTTAGGCTGAATAAAACTGATCCATTACTGGACTGGACTAAAGGTGGTCCATAACGGTGCCTATGTCCAGGGTCGAAGTATTCTCTTACACGGATTAGTTTATGTAAAAAGTTCTAATTTTTATATTGCATATAGTTAAGACTTTTTTAATTAAATAAATTTCTTTTATTTAATTATATTTTATAACATAGTAGATAAAATATATTTATTTTTTTGGAAAGTCATCAAACTTTCTGAATATATCAAAAAAATATAATAAAATATTTAAAAAGTACATAATTTAAATTGTTGAATAATTACATTTACTTTCAGAATTTCACTTTTGAGATTTTACTTGACTTTTATTAGTACGTAGCTAGCTTTTTTTACCCGGTAGGTCGCTTAAAATATTTGTCTATCTCTTGAGAATAGTATTTTTTTAATTTTAAATTTCATAATAATCGGTTGAGTAGTTAAGACAAGAAAGCGTAACAAACAAACATACTTCCGAATTTACTAACTAAGTAAACTCGTAAGTCATACCGCATAAACATGACAAATCTTGTGATGTTTATAGAAAGCGGTTAGTGTTTTCTCTCAGACTACCGTGTGCTTGTTTGCCAACTTAGTAGTTTACAAAGAGCCTTGGTACCAGTTACTGGATCTTTGTGCAGTATACGATAATAGGTACCTATTTTTAAATTTATTCTCTCGTCACTCACTGATTGTATACGATTGCTGCAGAATACCTACACAGCTTATATATTCATCGTGTCCAGAACCGACCGTTGTGTGCTTGATATTTTATTGAACAAATGTTTGCATGATATGTATAATTTAAATATTCACTGAATATACATCATGTACTATGTACACGTTCTCGCCTATATAAACTGTAGATGAGTCAAAATACCTTTACTGCAAATACTATTTATTGATCCAAGAAATATACGTATTATGCAAATATAAAATATTACAAATATAAATTTTTACCTTAGAATTCATTCTTCGATTGATTCCTGTTTTTTATATTTACCACCACAGTTAGGGTGGTATTCACCCCTAGCGAAACCATTCATTTAAAAAAAATGACCCAAAAACCGTCATACGCTGGACTATATACGTTCGTATGTATATAAATGTGTGTTTAAACTAACAGATGGTAGATATTACATAGAAAATTGCTTAAGTAAAGCCGCACTATAGTAACACAAATATCTATTTAGCGACATTTAATATTAGTAAAACCGGTTTTTTTTTTCTGAAACTAAACTGTTATTTAATAACCTGTCTTATGTCAAAATGTGTCTACTCTCATACATATACGACAACACAATCCAAATGAACTGTTTTTTTATATTTCTGGATCTAGTTATATAAAAAAAAAAAACTCACTTTGATATTCATTTTTCTAGAGACCGCCTTCGCGCAGCTTTCGCTGAAGTAGTAACTGTGGACGTGCTTGACTCGCGCGATGCTACCCACCTGGCTCTGCTGCAGCGTCCCGAACTGGGCATCACCTTCACAAAGATCCACTGCTGGAATCTAACCCAATACGAGAAATGCGTTTTCCTAGATGCTGATATTTTGGTGAGTTCTTGGCACCTGATTCAGACGTATCTGTCTTCTGTAAAGTTTAATTAATTACTGTCCTATAACTACGACGCCTGTAATGAATTAGATTAAATTAGATAGAGCTACGCCGCGACTTGGGAGTCGGTAGCAATTTAGCAATTGATTTTCTTGTGTCACAATCTATTTCCATTTACAGCACCGAAACTTATTCGAGACGATCATGATCATTAAAAAACATTCAAACATTCCTTGTAAACATTTTTGTAATATCAACGAACAGCTCAAATAGATAACGACCACGCACCCGGCGATTGTTTTCAATCAATTCTCGTGTAGTAACAGACAAGTCGCATTTGCGCTTACACTAACATTTGTACTGACACTTAAGAAGTGTAAAATTTATGGCTAATTACAATGTGCCTAAAATTCCACAAAAACGAATATACTAGATAGATATACCAACATTAGAATGTTAATGTACACAGCCAAAAAGGCAAATATTTGAGCATCCGATGTCAACTAATTTTGTTTTTCTTTGTCCATTTTGTCTCAGTGTATTCCGTGTCGTACACGATCCATGATTTTTAATTTCCAATTAACGACCGTATGTAAAACCTATTAAATCTATTACGATCTAAACTGTTTACGCGATAAGAAAGTCAATGTTACCGGATGTGAACATTAGTACAGTACTAGATGACGCGACGCATAACCGTGGCCCAAATATTTGCTCCCGACAATTTTGGACCATCTCCAATTTCTACACTTTCATTCTTTGCCTTCTTTTCAGCTAATAGATATATATCGCAAAATAAAACTATTATAACATGACGTGTGCATGCCCTAATCGTAAAATATCATTAAATTATGTAACACAAACAACAATAAAATTTATATACAAACATTTAGGAATCCATTAATAAGTCAGCAAGATATCTCTTCGATAGAACTCATTGATTCGTTGAGTTACTTTTTATCGCAGGTTATTGTGTCAACTAAAGTTTTTATTCACGTGTAGATAAAGAGTTCTTGATAAGTATTAAAAATATTTCATATCCATTATGCTGAACGTGACGAGTGGTATATACAAACAGAACGTTTTTAAAACTGTAGAGCTCATTAGCTTAGTTTTAGTAATTTTGGATTCCAATCATGTACTCATTTTTGGTGTCAGTAAGAAGAATGTTTGTTGCTAGGTGGTTCAAAACTGCGATGAGTTGTTTGAACGCGAACAGCTGTCCGCTGCACCTGACGTCGGCTGGCCCGACTGCTTTAATTCCGGTGTGTTCGTTTTTACGCCCTCGGCTGACACATTTTCCCAGCTCATCACATTTGCACAGGAACGCGGCAGTTTTGACGGTAAGATTTATATTTAATTTGAATTATTTTTATGCTTTAAGTTAAGAATCAAATAGATGACATGTACATGTCATCTTGAATTTCTACAAACACAACATGTTAATTAACAGCGGCAAGAAACTTTTGCCTAGCACAATCAATGTGTAAAATAAATTGTCGCCTGTGATATTTCCGGATCTATACTGCCACTAAACCTGCAGAAACAGTGTACTCCATCCTGAAATGCCGGTATGGAACACTTGTGACTCTTAGTTGCAGGTGTCCTTGGTGGCGGTAGCTACTTAAAACAAGGGCCCGACCCGTCTGTTTTGAGGGGTCGATATCATAATGAAAATTAATTCTTCGTGCCAAATGTGTAATTTGTCAGGTATGAAGCTATTCTCTCGCTTGTAACAGGTGGAGACCAAGGCTTGTTGAACTCTTTCTTCTCGGAATGGGCACGTGGTGACATCAACAAACATCTACCTTTCCTATACAATGTTACTTCAGCAGCCTTCTACTCTTATTTACCCGCATTAAAGCAGTAAGTTTTGTTAAAAAACAGTAATACCTACTATTTGTCTACAGACACATTTTCGCTCTTTTAAATATGCCTTTAATATGACAACGTAAATACCTTTAAAAAAAACAATAAATCTCTGAATTATAGTTTGTCTATTAATCGGCTTATGTGTTCATAACAAATGACTATTGAATGTATGACATGAACAGCACACAATAAAGCAATTATAGCTTCAGAAGTAGAAGAATCGATATTTAAATTTGATTTACACGAGTTAATTCTGTTGATTCGACTTGAACGCACTGATTGTGACGATTATATAATGCTTTTGATTAGATACATATTGTCAAATCTAAGTAGCATAATATAATGGTACAGCTAAACTGTCTGTCTGTAAACTGACATTATAGTTTCCATAATCACATAAGGCGTATGTCAGTGTATCATTTTGTTTCCAGTTACGGTCAGAATTTGAAAATAATTCACTTCATCGGTGCTGCTAAGCCATGGCTACAACAATACAACTTCGAGTCCAGCACAGTTGAAGCACCAGAGCACATCCGCGGTTTTCTTCAGCTCTGGTGGGATATCTTCGTCTCTCTGGTCCATCCTCAACTCGACACCGCCATGGTAAGTCATTAAGCAATTTGTCTATAACACGTGTTCACACTGAATTGGTTTTCGTAAACACTAGACTTATTTCTTATTTGTTAGCAGATATATTCACTAGTATCCTTTGAGTGGTGTACGTGATTTATTTCTTTACACAGATATTCAAATAACATTAAAACGTAGTAAAGTTGCATTTATTGGTTATTACCAGAGATCGGAATAGGTTGAGCATATTTACCTAATCAATCAACCAATCCCGTGAAAAAAAATTAGGAAATTACTTTTGCGTTTTGAATACATTTGAACTAAACTATTATTTTGAAAAGTTTTATTGTTTTTAGAGCTCCGTACTAAAAGTTTGCTTAAAAGAGCTTTGTTTTACATACATAACTAATTCTTGAAAGGTCTCCATTTAAGTATAATAATTACAATTATGACTATATTTAAGCAATATCATAAATAGACCGCAGGAAATCGATATTTCCATATTGTGTGACAACAATAATACATTCAATTGCAACCTCAAGAATTTGTCGATATTATAGCTCGTGATTGCCGGGTATCAATTACATATAGTTAAATCCAATCCCTCTCAATGCGGTTTCTCTATTACTACAATAATAGCTCGGAACATCTATGTATTATAATCTTGTAAAATTATCCATTGTCATTTCAACACCCGATCTGAACACTGCGACATGTTTTCCAAGCATTCACGGAAGGAATCTAAACTTGCAGAGGTGAGATTTAGCTTTCGACCCCAGTTGATTTACGTCTGTTCCAGTCTTATTATACATAGACTATTTAAATTTTAGTATTTTATTGTACTGGCATCGTGTTAGGACCTCCAATGCGTCCCTGTGTGACTAAACAGTATAGTTTTCAATGTATAACATTAGCTTGCACTCTTTTAAGCTTGTGCACTGTACTGCTATTTATTGCACCATTTGTTTGAAGCGTATATATATATTACCCGTGTGTATAATATTTCTCCAAAATACTAACAATTTTGTACTTTGCCGAATTTGTCTGTTGCTTTTTGCACGGTTTGGTTAATTTCAGTTTGGGTCGGAGTAGATGGTGTTGGTATTTTGGTGGAATACTCACCGTGAATACTTTATAAACATACTGATTTCACCTTAAAACTCGTTTTTTTATTTCAAAATTATTTAAATTTACATTCACACATATTTATTTCACTATGTCACTAATAACACTAGTTCTCTTCGTATGTTTATTAAGTTAAGCATTTTATTTCTTAATTGTAACTAATAGTCACTTGAGCAAAGTTTTTTGCACTGTATTATAATATTGCTAGTGCGTAAAGCTTAGATCAAGTGTTTCTGTGCATGCTTACTGAGCTGTTTCACTTCAACCGATAGGTTGAGGTGGAGGAAACTTCTGAAGTGCCAGCGATACCTCCACAAGATGTCAGCCACCGATACCACTATCAACCTATTATGGATCCTCAGTCGGAATTCGCTTGGCATCATCCCGATGTACAAAAAATGGAAGAGACTCACGAAAATCAATTAGATATATCAGAATTTCATAATCCCTGGGATCTTTATAGAGGACATATTGCAGCAAATACAGAAATTGGAATTAGTCCTTCTACTGAATTAGTTAGACTTGAAAATCGAGAAGAAATGAGAAAATATGTGTGGGAACATGGAACTCAGGAGGATAGCAACAGCGATAATCAGTCGTACCATAATGATCATCACTGGCAAAATAATCCCCAAGAACACGTACACCATATTGAATCCAATCCCGAACAACACGAACAACTGGAGCAACGTATGAACAATACTGAACAATACTGGCAACCTCCTTCTCAACAACTAGAATCCCACTGGCACTCTGATCCCACTGATCCCCAGTATTACGATCACCATAGGCAACCAAATTCCCAGCAACACGAACCGCATTGTCAACCCCAGGCACGCGAATCCCATTGGGAACCTAATCCTCATCAACACGAACATCAGTGCCAACCTGATCCTCAACAGCAAGAACCTCACTGGCAACCTCATACTCAACAACACGAAAGTCACTTACAATCTAATCCTCAAGAACACAAACAGCACTGGCATGAAGACCACAATCATAAAAGTAATCATGATCATGTACATGACTGTCACTCACACGACTATAACTCGCACACACAGAACCAACATAATCACAAACATGATAAGTCTAGTTCCTCATACAATCACGATTCACAGAAGCAATATCCTATTGTAGAGGAGGTTGAGGTATACAATAATTGTTTACAAAGACTGAACTGCATCGATTCTCACAAAAGTGAAGAAATGAATGGAGATATTTCGGAAAGTGAAAGTGATTATCACGAAGAAATACCGCCAAGGCATCCTTATGATGGCTTCTATTTAAGGCATCGAATCACTATAGACGCTCGTGGAAGAAAGATATGTTCGCATGAAATACCACCATCCCCTCCACCTGACTTAAAGGCACCTGCAAACAATATCTCATCTATTGCCGAGGATGAACAAATCTTAATATATAATGTTGAAGTGCAAGTAAGTTACATCCAGAATTTAATGCTAAGACCACAGGTATTGTAGTTTCATATTATTAAAACGCTTACCATGCCAACTTGACTGTTAGTGTATATATTTATTAGGCTATTCATTTAGAAGCCATGCATGCTTTGAAGTCTTAAGTGATTGTGCACGTGTAAATTTACCTTAACATTAACATCAATTTCTACTTCATATGTGTGACGTACATGTTAAGACTCCATTCATCAAATCAATGTGACGTCTGTTACAGAGTGGCGTCGCTGGTAACTTAGCTCGAGTGCTGCCAGGAGCACCTGGACAACGTGAAGCTCTGGATGAGCTTACGCGCCGCCAGGGTTGGGAAGCTGGAAATATCGATTACATGGGAGCCGATTCCTTTGATAATATTTGGGCGAAAATCTCGCAGACATTGAATAGACCTCGCTCCTCACCACCTAAACAATCTCCTCCTAAAGAAATAGCTCCTCCGCAATCGGCACCAGAACAGATAGAAGTTCAGACAGGTGAAGCCGCCAAAGAGCCAGTGTCTGAACAAGTGGAGGTCGCGAAAGAAGCTGCACCAGAGGAAGCTGTCTCTATAAAATCGTCTCAGGTACAAGAGGTTGCGGAAGCACCTGCACAAGAACCCGTTGCGCCAATAACAACTGCAACGCCTCTTGAAGCTGCTGTACCAGTAGATGCCGCAACTCCAGTAGCGGCTACGGGGTCAGTTGACGAGAATAATTCACTGGAAACTCCAACAGTCAAAGGTGATACGCCACTGGAAGCTGTTGTTCCAGCAGAAACTTGTACACCAGTTGAAGCTGCTGCGCTAGTTGAAGCTGTTGCACCTGTTGAACCTGCTGCACCAGTTGAAGCTGTTGCACCCGTTGAACCTGTTGCACCTGTTGCACCAGTTGCACCAGTTGAACCTGTTGCACCAGTTGAACCTGTTGCACCAGTTGAACCTGTCGCACCAATTGAAGCTGTTGCACCAGTAGAAACTGCTGTACCAGTTAAAGCTGTTGCACTAGTTGAAGCTGTTGCACCAGTAGAAACTGCTGCACCAGTTGAAGCTAATGTACCAGTTGATGCTTCTGAAGCCGTTGAAGCTGCTTCACCAGCAGAATCTTCTGCAACAGTTGAAACTAGTGCACCAAATGAAGCTGCTGCTCAAGTTGAAGCACCTAAAGATGCCTCTCCTACAACTGAAATTCCTGTGAGCGTAGAACCTGCTGCAGCAGAAATTGCCACATCAGCTAAGGCGGTGGTTCCTGAAGTACAATCTTTTAGTGACCCTGCAAAGTTAGAGACCCTAGCGGTCGCAGCGAAAGTCGCCAATTCTTCGGAGCAAAAGACTGAAACTCCTGTGACATCAGAACCTGCCAAAGATGTAGCGGCTGTGCCTGTATGTGAACCAGTGATTGAAGCTCCTAAAGTTGTACAACCAGTTGAAGCGGCGCCGACGACAACGGCAACTGATACTGCCGCACTTCAGGCTACCCCTGAGAAACAGACCATAGAGGCCACAGGGGTTTCTAGTGAAAGCCCCCCGCTCGCAAACACACCACCCAAGGAAGAAGTCTCCGTTGTCCCGGCTGCCAAATGTAAGTATAGATCCAAAGGCGAGAGCGCCTCAGACAGATAACAGCTTTGCACTGTCAAATCTCACAGAGTTCATTTTGCAGTTTTCAGACTTCTACTAATATATCTTGTTTAGCTGCATCTGTTTTACGTGGATCGGACCGCAGAATAGATGTATGTAATAGCTTAGGCGGCCATCACGTAGAACTCGATGTTTTCACTTTTTTCTTTTTGTGGCGTTTTGTGATGTTTGGTTTTTATGTTTATTTATCAGCATAAGTTTCAAAATTCGTTGTTATTTCACCCAGCTACCGAGGAGGCAGCGCAAGAGACACGGCTTTGATAGATCAGGTAATATATTTACTTTCACTTGGACTCAACGCAACTTCACAATTGCGCTGATTTGGGTTAAGGTGGAGGCTCTCGATGTATATATTCTTTACTTTGTGATTTTGCATTTTACGCGTTAAATACGTGTTAACGGCATCGGCTAAATGTGACGCGTATTTGTTGCTCATTCACAGGCCTATTCTTGTTTATCATATTTATATTAATTTATAAAAGTGACGATGTTGGGTTGCGTCCAAGTGGATGCAGATAGTAGGAACCTATTGTCGAACACTCATGAAGCTATTTCTAGTTAAACTCGTTATTAAGATCTAGTGTCATGCACTTTAAATATTTAATTTCCATAGCAGAATGAGTTGTTACTGTGCAAGTTGCATCTATTGCGATTAATCTGATGCGACCTTGCATGGCCGTGGATCTATTGAGAATGTTACAATTTCGATCATATCCATGACGAACTTGTAGCAAAACCCGTTTTGCTTTTCATTTAAGTTTCACGCATTGCAAGGACCATTATTCATAGCCTAATATTCACAGTAGTTTTAACTTAATAGGCGAAATATGTTAATAGAAAAGTTTGTACCGACTATAGCCATTATTATTTTATCGTTTTTTGTCATATTTATGCGATACCCTCTTGTAAACTATACAAAATGTATTCATTCAAATAATAATCCTTGTAATGGCCATGCGCTTTGACACTCCACTAAACTGACAATATCTAACTTTCTGCTTGCATCGTTTCTGTTTAACCATGTAGCTCGTTTTCCCTCGACTTTGTTCCAGGCCCTAACCGAGCTTGCTCTATAATGTGACAGCCATACTAACGCCACGTCTAATCGGTCGAGAGTATAAAGGCGGGAATAAATTGGTTGTGTAGCGGAGGAGCGTCGCAAGCCGGCGGGGAAGCTGAAGCTGGTACCGCCTGCGGTGGCCGACCCGCTTCCCACCCCCGACAGTGAGCTCGAGGACGCCGCCACGCTCGCTCAGTCCATCATCGCCAGCGAGCTGCGCACCCCCACTGTCACGTCCCCCGAGCCCGCCGCCCCGCTCTCCCCACCACCCGCACCTCAGCTCAAGCAGGCACTGTCCGTCGAGGAGCCTGAAGTGCCGACGCCGCCCGTGGGCGCCGTGTCGCTGGCGCAAATTGGCGTTAAGTCACCATCCAAAAATAAATCTACAACCGCTGCACAGATTGAATCGTCGGTAGTGGAAACGCCCCCATCGGGAGTTACAGATTTACCATCAGCTTCGGCGGAGATGATCCCAGTAACGGTAGAGGCAATTTCATCACCAGTGGAAGCGACAGCAGCCTCTGTCTCGGAGGAAGCGAAATCACCTAAAGTCCCGAAAGAGTCGCCGGCGGCCCCTCCAGCGGACGTTCCCAAGAAAAAGGTCGTAAAGAAGGTGGTGAAGAAAGAGGCCGGTGCGACGGGACCCGATGTGCCTGTGCCGCCACCTCGCAAGAAGGAAAAGAAACCCAAAGAAAAGTGAGCGTCCGCAACACGCTCCCGATAGTTCCTCTGTGCCATAAGTTTAGCCTTCCTAATGTTAAAAGTCTATTTATTAATCGAGTAATTATGCTTTTATGTATTGCGTATTTTTTTTATATTAAAATATTTAGTATTAATTTTTTACTCACTCTCAGACGGCAAATGCATTCTTTAGCTTAAATTTTTATACCTTTACTTTTCTATTAATTATTAAATTATGAACTATGTATTTATGTTTTTACAGTTTTCCTAATTGGTTTATTTTTGTGAAAAGTCTACCAAAGGATGAACGTATTTATTAAATTACAAGACAGTTCTTGTGAAAATTTCATATTAAAAAGTCTATTTTGGATTTATATTTGCTTTTATTTTCCTAATCTAGTTCAAATTATATAGTGTAAATAGTTTTTTTTACATTTACGTAGTATTATTTAGAAATATATATTTATATAAAATCACAATAACAAAATAACATCGATAGGTAAATGTATAAAGATTAGTATAGGCATAATTTGAGAAACCATATCAAACTTTATCACAGTGAAGGTCGAACCATTATACACATGTATAACAATATAATACATCGTTTATAGTTCGCACGATTTTGATAAATGATACACACGCATAAAGCATTCAGAAGTAAAGTCAAAGCACAAGAGCCATCGAGTGATAAGGAAAGGATTGTGTTTAGATGAATGTTTTGGCGATACTTTAATGTAATAACTAGTTAGAGTCAACAGTTACGTTTCTTTATAAGTACATGAAAAAGTTAAATTTACGACAGCTCACACGGGTAGCTTTTGCCTTATTGTTTTTTTTATTTCAAACGACTGTCCAAAAAAGCTGTGTTATTTTTTCAGAGCTCACGCGGCTGCAGGTTTCTCTATTTCACTTTAAGTTACAAAGTTTCAATTACGTAGCTCTTATACTTGAGATTTTATTGATATCTTGAAAACCCCGATTTCGTCACTGACTCACGATGATTATCAAAATGTTTTTGGGTACTTCTTGAAGTCCTAGAAACCTGAAATTTGGTATGTAAGCTAGTATTAGTATACGAACAAAAAAAAATCTAAAACTTGGCACTTTTACCCCTTAAACTGGGGGATGGAAGTTTGTATGAGACTTCCGCAAATCTTGATGTTAGAGGTCTGAAAAGTGATAAAAGGCAAAGATAGAGAGTGGAATATAAATAATGACACCTCTAATGTTCAAGAAATACACCCAAAAACAAATGAACTAAAAAATAATTGTCATAAGCTTACAAAAAGAAGTGAATTCCCACCAAAAAACATCTTAATGTTGCCAAGACGAGACTATATGGATCGCACTGACAAAAAGTTATCGGACCTCATGTAAGTAAAGCCAAGCTTCTAACTCTACAAACCCTTGCTTCACTATCTACACCTTAGTCAAAATATCTGGCTTGGCCGTTTGAGAAATTGTGAGATCAACTTTCGATCTTACAACTGTCATAAAAGGTATTTGACGGGCCTGTTGGTCGAGTGGTTAGTGCCCCTGACTGCTAAGCCGGAGGTCGTGGGTTCGATTCCCACCCAGGACAAATATTGTGTGATGATCATGATCATTTTGTTCTGTGTCTGGGTGTAATTTATCTATAATATGTATGTATTTAAAAATGTATAAGTATGTTTATCAGCAGTCTGGTCACCATAGCACAGGCTCTGCCTAGTTTGGGATCAGACGGCCGTGTGTGAAATCTGTGAGGTATATTATTATTATTTTCGTCGTAGTGTCCAACGTTGGCTGTAATGTGATTATGTATTTCCTATTATGACCGAAAATTTAATCGGGCATCTGCTAGTCTTAGTAGGTAACACTTAACTATTTTACTACGATGATGATTGATGATGATGAATTAAAAATTTCTACTTTTGTGATGACTTGGAGAAGGAGAGGCGAGCAGGAATATAGCATAAGCTAAGCACAGCTTTAAATGAAAGCCCACCAAGTGCCATTGATTACCCGTGATAGGGCATTCCAGAGGAGGACAAACCTAATAGGGTAAGTAAAATTGACAAAAGCTGAAAAGCCTGAAGAATAACTGTGACATAATAGGAGAAAATTAGTCGAAGACCGGAGTATTCGATTATAATTAGAGAAAACGACAGTCGAAATCGAATGCAGTTGTTTAGAAGATAGATAGTCTGATTGGCCTAGTCTAGTGGTTAGTGACCCAAACTGCTAAGGCGGACGTCGTGGATTCAATTCTCAGTTAGGGTAAATAACTCTGTAAGGATTAAGAAGGAGAATCCTGTATTTAGAACAATATAGTTATGTTTATCAGCGGTCCGGTCATAGTACAGCGCTACCATAGTTTGGGATCAGACGGCCGTGTGTGAGATATGTCAACTTATTATTATTATACTGCTATTAGGCAAAGTTAACATTCGGAATATTCACATCAAAGTCTACAAATGTTCAATTTTCTAACTTCCCTAAAAACTTTCCAGGTAACCTCTTTTTTCGAACCAAATAACTGTACTATTCAAGATCCGGTCTAAGGATTGGGAGGACGTCCACTTCTTTAATAAGTAAGAGCGCCATCTACAGTGCCACTAGTGAACTACGTAAGTCTCAAAATCATGTTGGGTTATTAGTCGTTTCGAAATTGAAATGTCATGCAACATAGTTAAGAGGTGCCGTGCTAATCAATTCCCTTCAAGATTTTGTTCACTTTACATTTTGTTACTTCAGTATTATGAACTTGTGGATTTATATTTGTTAATTATTGAAATGGCAAAGTAAAATTAGGTGGAAAAATAACATCTCTTTCTACCTTTGGTAATCGATTGAATCCAGATAAATAAATGAAAAGTCTAATGGGGACCATATTTCTCTATTATAGGTCTCAACATATCTATAAAAAAAGTGCCAGTTTATATGTCTGGGATAGTTTATTATATTTAACCGTCGAACAAATAAACTAGATTTTATAGTTTATTGCATGAGATATCTAGGCAGTAAAGATTTTTTAGAGATTTTGTGTCCTGGCGAATAACAGCAAACGTATCGAATTGTTTTTCTTTGCCTTGATTTAGATTAAATAAAGGAGGCGTATATGTTACTGTAAAAAACCCGAACTACGGTAAATCCTAAGATTTACTAATAAAACCTATATTTACCAGCGAGTTTTGGTACAAGTTCGAATGTCAAGCATTTACCACCATTCACTTGGAAAATCTTAAGATTTACTTCAAATACACGGTGTTGTTTCACCAACAATAGAGGCAATCTGGCGGTCACTTTAATGGTCACTGTTCTAACCTAACCCAAATTTAACTTTGAAGTACTTATTGTTTTCTTCTCAAAACCAACATTTATCAACCGCCTCTGGTAAAACCATGTACCAGTTTCTAATGGCATAAGTCCGAAAAATTGTAACTTATATATCGTAACTTATAAAACTAACTTAAGTCAATAGGTAGTATTTTGGGGATTGTAAAAAATTAAAAAATACAAGCGAATTGGTTGGATAGAAGCATAAAGGTCGGTCTAACTTGTAATAAGTATATTTTATTTTATTTTATTAACTAGGTAGTCGGGCTATGAAAATAAAATAACTTCGTGTAGCGGAAAACAATTGGAACTACAGTAATATCTTTTTCTCATTATGCGCCATTTTAAGTCAGTTCCTTCACTTTCAGACATGTTTTCATACATTTTAACATGTTTATTTCTATTCCTTACTTAGTATAATACGGCTGTTCATCGTTATTATCACAAGCAGCAGCGAAGTTGATGTAGCGGCAATGGTTGAACGTGTTCCAAGCGCCTCTTTAAATTGGAGGTGTCAATATATGCCAGCCTAGTAGAGTGAAGTCGTCTGTTATTCAGTAGACAAGGAAAGGCTTGGACATATGGGCCAAGCTGGGCTTAAGTGATACTTCGGCTTCACAGAAAACCGGTGTTAAACAATACTTTCGTTGCTTTTTACCTAGTGAACGAGGTTACCCGAGTCCCACTCCCCTCTCCCCCGAGTATGTGTCCATTGGCGGCGGTAGTCACTTACCATCAGCAGTGCTATTCTCTAACTATTTTTGTGCTGCAAAAGAGAGCGATTCGAGCAATTTATAATTTAGGCAATCGTTGTTCATTAAGGCAGTTTTTTTAAGAAATAAACACTCCACTGCTGCACCCACGCCGGGCATTCTGCCAACGTGTGGAGGGCAGTGTCCACGGTCCGGCCACCGCAGGAGTAGCACTCAGGCGTTGGCTCCTTGCGGATCAGACACAGGTTATCTCCGAAACAACCTTTCCCGGTGATCACCTGCGTCAGCCGGTGTGAGAGACCGTAACTTAAGGCCGTAACTTAAGAAATTGAAATTCGTTTAAAATTCAAAGCTACAGCGTTGTCACAGCAGTACACAAGGTTTTTTCCTTAGAGAATAGCACTGCAGGTGACCCGTCTGCTCGTTCTCCTCTATAGCATAAAAACGGCGACCAAATTTGCCGAAATTCACACTTTCTTTCTAGCGTTAGAGACCTCAGCAATTAAACGCCATGATGGTACACATTGCTGGTTCAAGTTTAACATACTACTCTGCCGTTTAACTACGATCCGGTGACCACCAGCGTTGATATTTCCACAATAGTAATCATGAAGGTAAGTACAATGCTACTTTGAAATTCGTTCACAAAAACATTTTAATGTGCTCAATATATATGTATATGATGATGGTAACCCTAACGTCGTCGGTGATTCGTAAGAGGCGTATTTCAAACTTCACGAGCAGTGCGTACTCTATAATTATGTACAAATTGCAGAGAGAAACAAACAAGAGCCTTGTATATACCTATCTTGTTAAAGTTATGTGCCTTAATTACGACGCGATTTATCTGGTAATTTGATGTTGGTTTTGTTACCATGTTTGCAAAATAATAACAGTTTTTGTGTTGCTTTTTGTACCTAAATAGTTATGTGGGTTCATATGTTGTTAATAAAAATTAAAACAAATGATCTAGATTATATAAAGTCCTTTTATTTAGTATTACCTATTATAGTATATCGCCGAAGCTAAGAAAATAATGAGGTTGACACTGTCTCAAAGAGTGGAAGTGTGGGAAGTGAAGTTTAAATTTAATACAGGACTTTCTGTTCACCGGGCCGGGTTGGGCGCGCGCGCGCTCTTTAGGGAGTAGAATAGAAAAACCGTACTTCCCACACACGAGGGGTTCCTTCCTAGGGTACAGACCGTGGACACGGCTCTCCACACGCTGGCAGAGTGCCCGGCGTGGGTTGAGCAGAGGCGAGACCTCGTGGCGGCCATCGGAGATGGAGTTCTCTCGCTCGATAGCCTGATTGCGGCTATCGTGCGGAGCGAGAGTGCGTGGAACTCTGCCGTCTCCTTCTGCGAGCAAGTTATGCTCGCGAAGGAGACGGCGGAGCGGGACCGGGAGAGGTTTAGGACTCTCCCGGCCCGCCAGGCCCGGGAACGGGCCAGGTACCGCAGGCGACTCAGGCGCCGGAGGTCGCAGAACGACCTCCGTCCTCCATAAGCGCAGGCCCGGGGGTGACAGGTGAGGCCATCTGTCACCCTAGCAGAAGCAGGCCGGGGAGCACCGGGAACATCCGGCTATCGAGCGAGAGAACTCCCACTCCAATGGCCGCCACGAGGTCTCGCCTCTGCTCAACCCACGCCGGGCACTCTGCCAGCGTGTGGAGAGCCGTGTCCACGGTCTGGCCATCGCAGTGGTGGCACTCAGGCGTTGGCTCCTTGCGGAGAATCGCACACCCTGTCATCGAAAAGACTTGCTTACTTTTTGAAGTCTAGTCTACTACACGAGATCATCTTTATTTCTAGTGTTTATATTATGAACGTCGCTAATCTTTGTGAATAAATTAATATTTTTCTTAACATACACTAAATTTTCATATACCTAGATAAATATTGAGATGCGACTGTCATAATACCAATTTCTTTAAACTTATCCCTCAGTGACTGCCTATAACTGAGATTATAAATTGCGCGAATACTATCTTTTGCAGCACAAAGATACTCTGAATGTGTGTAAAATACCGTATGACACTACACTATGAAAATACCTAAAATACACTAGTCTAGCTGTGTCTACATCGGTTAATTGACGAATTTTATAAACCGCATTTGCCGTAGAGCTGAGTCTATTCGACAATTCAGCAATTTGTGGGCCCTACTGCAATTAAGAGTCTAAAGTTATACCCAAAAACTTAGTGGTGTCCACAAGATCCAACTCCTTTCCATTTATCAGAACACTGGTTTTTATCTGCTTAACATTAGGTGTTAAAAATCTGATGCATTTAGTTTAAATTTATTAAATAAAATATTAAATTTAAATAAGAGATAAATCTTCTTATCTCTCATTATTTTTGGATCTCCAAAGCAGTATTCCTTATTCCATAGCCTTTAATAGTCCACAGCTGGGCAAAAGCGTAGGCCTTTCCTTAGAGATGATGTTTTGGCCTTTTTTTTTTTTTGTTACGTGTGGAAATCCCCTCGGACCGTCACCCCGCCGGGGCTCTCGTTCGGCGGGGCGGTGTGTCGGACTCGAACCGACTAAAACCACACGGTGTGCCCTCTTTGCGCTTCCAGTTTAGGATGATGTTTTGGCCTACTATATGCTGGACAGACGGGTTGGTATACGGTTTGTGTCAAGTTTTGCTTCTCGTTGCATTACTGTTTTTCTGCGTTCGTCCTAGTTTGCTCACTTAGTCGGCACTTACGAAACCTACGGGTGGTGACACTCCGTTTAATTAATCCGCCACGATACGAACATATGACATATACATATCTCAGGATATTATTTTACAATTTGAGAGGTATTGTATTTAACGTCATTGTGGTGGCAATATTACACACCATTTAGGAATTTTAGGAATTTTAGGACTTCATTATGCTGTTGGCTTACACTCATGGAATAGCTCGTACACAACAGCTTTAATCTGGTTAGTTTTAGTGTTTTTATATTTGCCAATGTGCGTCTAATAAGAATTGTAGGAAGTTGTTTAATTACAAGTGAAGAGTTCAACAGCTTTAAGGAAGTGAGTACAGCTCTCGATGTTGACAGTTTAAGTAGTAACCACTGTAAATTCAACACATCGTCGATCGTAAGTTGTAACTCGTAATTTGAAGTCGCTTCTGTTTACACGCCTGTTAGTCACAATGAGCGTCTCATTATGAGACCGAGCCTGATCGTGGGTGGTCTCACACTTACCGGACATTGTTAGCGTTTGGATCTCTGACAGTTCGTGACTTAAAGAATCTAATGTAATATTGGTAACTGATGGTAAACTTTATTGATGTACATGGACTTTAAATGTTCGTGTTAGTGAAATGTGTAGGCAGTGGGCACGATAGCAATCGAAGAGGGGTAGTCGAAGGTGGGGGAGAGGACTGTTTTAACAGTAGTCACTAATTTGTGCGCATATAGACCATTTTCTTGAAAAACGTGAAAATTAAAACTTTGTATAAATCAGCACCTAGTACAAGTTTATCTATACATACTGTTACATAACGAAAATTCTTTGTAAATACTTCTTTCTAAACAAATACAGCGCCAGCAGCATAATATGTTTTTAGAATACTTTATGTTTATGCGTAAAAGAGAACAGTAATCCAAAATTTTAGGCAACATGTGCTGTAAATTTTAAAATAATGAAAAAACGGCTTCATTAAACTAGGGCGTCCCATACATATTTCGAACTGTCAGGGTACAAAAGTCTATATGATGATAGTTCCAGTTATACCAGTCAATTAAATAAAACAAGATATTCAAAACGGTCGAAACTTAACCGCAAGACTGCGATTTCTCAATATTCTTTCGGACAATTCGATAGGAATGAAACTCTTCTAGCAACACTATATAAGATTAACATATTTTCCTAATGTTATGTATAATTACTAAAAATATAGGTAATAAAGTAATAAAAATATAAGTATTATTATTTTTAACGTTTAAATAAATACAGTCTATTTTTTCGAATGTGTAAGATATCTGAGCGAATTTTTAAATTTTTTATATGTAAGCGCCATCTGGCGAACCATGAAGAAGCTCCATAAGAATTAGTAGGCATTTCGTTCTGTTCTATCCCTCTCTCACAGAAACTGTACAAAAAGAAGCGTTTAGTTCACAAACGCACACTACGAGGAGATCGTGTGTAGTACGTATATTCACAGTTCACACAAGCTCGTTTCTCAGTGCAACACAAACAACCAGTTTGACAGAAACAACGTCGCGCGGTGGTTGTGTCGCCCTTTTTCGTTAAGTTACATTGATAATATCAATGTTTATAAACATTATTCGATGAGATTCCGACATAATTCTCCATGTTCATGAATAAAATGAAAAACTTTTATAGATTCGAGCTTTAATAAGTGAGTTTATAGGGTTTTTCTTTCGGATTAGTACGTTTTATTCGAGTGTATAATCTTGTATCGGCGAGAAGTCAGCATCGTTGATTTTGTTGGGACGATGGATGAAAATGTGAAACAAATGTGAGTTGGTGAACTTTATGTGCTGATGATCCTGGATATAGTACTTTGAGACGTTTGTGGGTTAGGGAACTGACATCATGAAGTTGTTGGTGCTCATTTTGTTACTGCCTGCGTGTCTAGCGCATTTAAATGTTTACCTGAGTAGCGCTGAAGTATGGAGGTTATTAGGTAAGTTAATATATTTATCACCGTATAATACAAAAAGGTTTATCTGTTTTATCGCATGAATATACAATGATAAGCGCGTATGTTTTAGTGGAAGATATTTCGAATTTGGCTGCTGATTACATACTTAATGGAAATTGTGATCAATTTACCAGTAGAAGGTTTTATAGCAATCGGTTTCTAAACAGTTTTAATAAAAAAGTTCGATTTATTATTTGAACTATTTAGGAAACGATGAATATGATGAATGAACGTGCGTTGCGTCAATCACATGAGTTCAGTTTATTTGACGAAAATGAGAGATATGATTTTCGTCCTTTACATCGGTTCGTATAGGTCTGTACGTTGTATACTACGTTGCATTCCAATAAAATTCCATCTAAGTAAAATGAAAAGAGTAAAAATAGTTTACGAAGTTAGGGATTACTCGTCACTTGATAAATTATTCATTTTAGTTGAGTTATTCAAACGTTATTCAAAATTTAAACAAATATTCACTCTTATTTTAGTTTTTACAGATAAAAAAAACCAAGTACCTAGGTAAATACAAAAAGAGAGGTTTTATATTTACTCGGTTATTTTTTACTGTACTGTACTCCAAATTTTCTTTAACTGTCTACATATCCAAGTCTAAAAGGGATGGCAGGGGAGTATACAGTATGCTTAAAGTTAATTAAGAATATAATTAGATAATTTAGAAGATCGATTAGAGACTGCGATACGACTAGTGTACTGTTACGTCAAGTAAGACCTCTACCTCACCTAGGAACAGAACTAATAAATCTAATTAATCTGTTCTAGTTTTTAGCCTTCATTTATTTAAATATCGTATGTACCTACGATACCTTGTTCTGTATTACGATAATGTGATATAATCTTTATACAGGACTATAAAAACTGAAATATACATTAGACCTAGTTGCCTATTAAGTCAAATAAATTCCTCTTCATTAAAAGTCGAAACTGTACTTTTTAAAGACATTTTGTTTGAAGTAAGTTTTATATAACGAAAATACGAAAAACAGAAAACAGTAGCGTAAAACAGTTCCAAATATAGTTTAGCATAACTCTTAAACAATTTCTTTCAACCATAGGAAAATACCCTAATGTGTATTACGTAGGTACCGGCCCAATAAATCTTCTTACTGTAGCTAGTAGCTACTGTATAGGTCTACTTCATCTCATCTCAATTTTAGTTACGTGTTTTATCTACCAATTTTCTGTACTTTAAAGTTCCTTTAACTAATATGCAATTTCCTATACAATCTTCTGTATTCTCAATTTTCTCATATTACAGTAATAATAATTGTCTACTTATGAACACTAAGCCCTATCCTGTAAATTATCTAAGAGAATATATCTAGTTCTTTTAAATTCTTTTATGTGTTAGAAGAAGCTAGCGATAGAGTAGCGAAACTCTTAGCAAAGCTATACCTATCATAATAATGTAAGGATACAGTTGACAATATCGCGTAAGAACTGTGATCTTCCAAAATCCACTACTCTTCGATGACACTTTTTGTTTTTATTTTCCGTCCAGTAACACGATGACACATCCACTACGTATGTCTTTCAATAATTTACATATGAATCGAGTCTATCCTTTGATATAAAAGTTGCGACATATCCAGGACTAGTCAAAACCTACAGTCAATTTAACATTAAATCAACTTATATTGAGAAAAAATACGGCTTAAAGTAACTGTTTTCATGTCGTTAAGGTATGTCGGTGTACTTGAAAGCAAATTTACTATCGTGCGGGCACATTGTTTAAGTGACTAGCAACTTAATCCACACGATTTTAATTAGGGAAACGTCAAAACTAATGTCTGTGAGCTCGTCATCCACGACTTTGAGAATAAGCTGAAGTGACAAGTATAAAAGGGCCCGTGCGCAGGCGCACAGGTAATGGGCTTACCGATGTGACGCTCCTTACAATAACCGTGTTTTTTTTTGTCCCGGCCTATTGTACGAACCTGCTTCGGTTAAGAGTGCAATCCATCTTTGTCAACGACAAAACCATCTGCCTTTTGTTCTTGCTTAAAAATTAGAATAATAATAAACAATATATAATAGAAAACGGCATTTTTACTTTATAAAATATATAAAAATAAATAATAAAAATAAAATAAAAATAAAAAAAAATAAAAAAATAAAAAAGCCTTTTATTTCATGCAATAAATATCCAATATTAACTTTTTTTTTTTGCTAGTTACAATCATGAAAACGATATATTAAATGTGGTTTGAAAAGCGATAGGTACGAGTATATTAAGAACTTATTTCATCATATATATTTCATGTTCCACAAGATGATTATCAAAATACAATATAGAATTGATTTGTTAATAGATTAAATTAAAATAAATAAATAAACTTTGATTGCTCTTATAATAATAATGTTAATTATTAAGATGCGTAAAATTAAAATTTAAAATTTTCTTGATTAAATAATTGTAAATTTAAGAAAAGTTTCTAATGCAAATATGCATGAACCCCTCAAGTTGTGAGGGTGAAGGCCTCCTCCAGAGAACTCCAGTGGTCACGGTCATTGGCTTCTGTTTGCCAGTCTTTGCCTGCTACTTGTGTGATGTCGTCCACCCATCTGGTTATAGGTCTTCCTCTTTTTCGGGTTCCCGCTGGGCCTGGCCATGACGTCGTGCGGATTGTCCAGCGATCGTCGGTCATTCTCGCTACGTGTCCTGCCCATCTCCATTTTAACTTTAGGGCGTAGGTGAGAGCATCTGTTACCCCTGTCTTTTGTCTGATTGTAGTGTGACGAATTTTTTGACATTTTCTAATTTTTGTGATACTTCTCTCCATGCTTCGCTGGCAGGATCTGACTTTATTTCTAACCCTTGCGGTGAACTTCCAGGTCTGACAGCCATAGGTTAGCGTTGGTAACAGACAGGTGTCCATGACCTTTCTTTTAATTTTAATATGCATCTGACTTTTTAAGATTTCCTTTAGGCTCCAAAACTTTTTCCATGTCGTTTTTATTCTTCTATCTACCTCTATATCATTGTTTCGTTTTTGGAAGGAAATATGTTTCCCTAGATAAATATAGCTCTCGACGTACTCCACCGGTGTGTTGTCTAGACATATAGAGTTTTGTGCGGCATTTGTCATGAGTTTTGTTTTGCACAGGTTCATTTCTAGTCCTGCTTCTCTGCTTGCTTGTTGTATTGTGACTAACATTGACTCCAGCTCGGTGCTATTTTCTGCTAGTAGGACAATGTCATCGGCAAACCTCAGGTGGCTGATATATTTACCTTTTATACATATACCGGTTTTTTCCCAATTTAATTTGCCGATAATCGATTCCAGTACTGCTATAAATAGTCGAGGTGATAGGGGGTCGCCTTGTCTTACCCCTCTCTTGATGGGAATGGGTTCTCCTGTGCTCTCCAGTTTTACTCTACTAATATTGTGTTCATATAAGTATTTTAAGACTTGTACGTACCTTTCCTCCACTTTTTGTGATTGTAAAGCTCTCCATATTACGGGGTGTAGTATTGTATCAAAAGCTTTCTGATAGTCAACAAATCCTATGTAGAGTGAACGTTGAAATTCTTGATATTTCTCTATAATCAGTTCTAAAGAATGGATGTGGTCTATAGTGGAAAAACCTCTTCGGAATCCCGCTTGTTCGATTGGTTGGCTTTTCTCTAATGTAGAACTGATTCTTTTCTCTATAGTCGAAGCGAATAGCTTATAAAGAGTAGGAAGGAGGCTAATTGGCCGGTAATTGCCTATGTTTAGTGGGTCGCCCTTTTTGAACAGCAGTATTATATCAGACTCTGACCACTGTGTAGGTGTTGTAGAGGAGCTTAATATTAGGTTAAATAAATGAGTCAAAGGGTCTACCAGAAAGGGACCTGCTATTTTTATGGCCTCGTTCGTTATTCTGTCAGGTCCTGGGCTCTTCTCTGCTTTTAATCTTTTAATTCCCATTATAATTTCTGTTTCGTCGACTGGTTTTATCTCTATGCCATTGCCATTGTCAACAAATTTTAATTCATTTTGATCAACATATTGACGTACTGGAGCATTGTACAAGTTTTCATAAAAGCTGGTTGCTATGTTCAGTATACCTTTACGGTCGTACGTTGTATTTTGAGCGTCGTAAAGTCCTTCTATCCATACTTTATGAGATCGCAGTTCCTTGTAAGCTTTTTTAAGACTTCCTGTAAAGTTAATGTGCTTTTCAATAGTAATCTTACGATGAGTCGCGTAGTCTCTTCGAACGTATTTACTTATTAGTTTGTACAATGCTTTCAATTCATTTTTCATAGTTCGCGTCTTTGGTTTGATTTTTTGTAGCGCCCTTCTACGTTGTATTAGCTCTGTAGTATGGGCAGATATCGCACTGCTACTTACTCTATCTCTGTTGTGAATAAGAGCTTTCTTCAAGCTAGTATCTAAAATATTAAGTATTTTGTCATAGCATTCCTGTACAGAGTTGGTTTGTTGGCAGTGTCGAAGGTCTTCGTTGCATTCGGTGAGTGACTGTTTAAATCTCGATATTTCTTCTTCATTTCTTAGGGAACTTCTTGGGTTGCTGGTGTAGTTCATTCTAGTTACTTTTAATTTTTGTATAAGAAATGTTGCTCTTAGGAATCTGTGGTCTGTATTGTAATTCAAGTTGATTACTTGTATATTCTGCACATTGTTCTTTAAATTAGTTAATATATAGTCTATTTCATTTTTAATAGAGCCGCCTGGAGAACGCCAGGTCCATCTTTGGTTATTCTTCTTTTTGTAAAAAGTATTCATAATTGACAGCTTATTTTCGTATGCAAATTCGATTAGTCGTTCGCCTCTGCTGTTTCTTGTGCCATAGCCGTAGTTTTTCATGATCATATATTCTTCTGGTTTCGGTTGGCCAATTTTGGCGTTAAAGTCCCCCATGACTATTATATTCTTCTCTGATATTTTCAGGGCTTTGTCAATAATATCATAGAAACGCTCTATTTCTTCATCCTTTGCAGCATCTGTTGGGGC